TGATTGATGGGGAGGCGGCGGAAGGGGAAATTCCGGCGGAGAAAACCGAAAGATTCGACCTTCGCATACAACCACCACAGCGAAGCACAAAACCCATACTATGATGCCATGGGCTAATTAGAGGCAGGGCACCCTGTAGAGAACCTACAGGTTTTTCAGAGCCATTGATTCACATCTTGCTCTCCCCCAATTGCCTCAGCCCCTACTAATTGAAGAATTATTTTATTTCGGTGAAAGGAAATCGAAACCCTAAATTAATTTCTAAGAACAGTATCAAGTGATTGACTTGAAGTATATGAAGCCTGCGGCTTGCAAAAACCCTAATCTGCATCTCTGTGTCTCCGCCACCGCTTATTCATGGAGCAACGAGGTTGCCGATCACGTGATGCACACGTGATAATTTTTTCCCATTTTCTTAAAAAATTAATTATTAAAGCATCAAATAAAATATAAATTAATAAAATTAAAGTCACACGATTCATATTTGTAGTTTTATTTTTATTTTTTTTTTTTTGAATAATTAAAAATATTTATTTGTATTTATTCTTACTTTTTTGAACCATGTCCAGTAACAAAATTAGAAATGAAAAAACATTTTAGTATCAAATGAAATTATCAATATTTCATTAAAGAGGTCAATTAATCAAGTCCTGCTTGACTCCTCATTGAAACCAAAATGTGGCAATGGTTTCTATTTCTATTGCATAGTAGTTGGAGGCACAATATGTTGCTCAGAGAATGAATACCACAACAAAAGGTATATGGCACAACTTCTCTACAGCGGCTGAGATCGTATGAACCAATTTTCTTTATTTGCTCTGAATTTCTACAAGTCCCCATTAATAAATCAGACAAATTTGTGGCACATTAAAAATGTAATATTTGATCTAATTAAGCTTGCTAACCTTCCTAAAATTCCAGAGAGAACACCATAATCTTGCATGCTAGATAAATGAGATCACTCCCATAATAAATAAATATAAATGAGATCACCAAGTACAAAATAAGCCATTTTACGTATCCAGTCTTCGGCTTTGCATTTTAAAACTTACCGAATGACAAGCATAGGGTGATTTCCCTCGACGCTCAAAGTGTTTAGCCATGATGCAGAATTCCATCGGACCCCACTCTTCTGCCTCAAAGCAATTCCCATGTGCTGCTTTATACAACTATGATACAACAAAAACACAAATATCATATCCAAGCCCAAAGTTAAATAAAAACCAATCAAGTAGATAATCCATGTTGAGAATCCAAGTAGACAAGTGCCAAAACAGAAAAATACCTTAGCTGTGTCCGTTAAAAGCTCCGTT